CCTGTCACAACAGTGCTCACCAGGGAGGATGGGCTCAAATACTACAGGATGATGCAGACTGTGCGCCGAATGGAGTTGAAAGCAGATCAGCTGTATAAACAGAAAATTATTCGTGCTTTCTGTCACTTGTGTGATGGTCAGGAAGCTTGCTGTGTGGGCCTGGAAGCCGGCATCAACCCCACAGACCATCTCATAACAGCCTACCGGGCTCACGGCTTTACCTTCACCCGGGGCCTTTCCGTCCGAGAAATTCTCGCAGAGCTTACAGGACGAAAAGGAGGTTGTGCTAAAGGCAAAGGAGGATCGATGCACATGTATGCCAAGAACTTCTACGGGGGCAATGGCATCATGGAAGCGCAGGTGCCCCTGGGCCTGGGATTGCTCTAGCCTGTAAGTATAATGGAAAAGATGAGGTCTGCTGACTTTATACGGCGATGGTGCTGCTAACCAGGGCCAGATATTCGAAGCTTACAACATGGCAGCTTTGTGGAAATTACCTTGTATTTGCATCTGTGAGAATAATCGCTATGGAATGGGAACATCTTTTGAGAGAGCAGCAGCCAGCACTGATTACTATAAGAGAGGTGATTTCATTCCTGGGCTGAGAGTGGATGGAATGGATATCCTGTGCGTCCGAGAGGCGACAAGGTTTGCTGCTGCCTATTGTAGATCTGGGAAGGGGCCCATCCTGATGGAGCTGCAGACTTATCGTGACCACGGACACAGTATGAGTGATCCTGGAGTCAGTTACCGTACACGAGAAGAAATTCAGGAAGTAAGAAGTAAGAGTGACCCTATTATGCTTCTCAAGGACAGAATGGTGAACAGCAATCTTGCCAGTGTGGAAGAACTAAAGGAAATTGATGTGGAAGTGAAGAAGGAGATTGAGGATGCTGCCCAGTTTGCCACGGCCGATCCTGAGCCACCTTTGCAGGAGCTGGGCTACCGCATCTACTCCAGCGACCCACCTTTTGAAGTTCGTGGTGCCAATCAGTGGATCAAGTTTAAGTCAGTCAGTTAAGGGGACTAGAATGGGAGGTTATACCTTCAGGGGGCTACCAGTGTTCTCAACTTGGTTAAGGAGGAAGAAAACCCAGTCAATGAAATTCTTGTAAACTTCCATTAAGACTAAGTGTGTAGATTGAGCAGGTAGTAATTGCATGCACTTCGTACATTGTTGCATTAAAAGATTATTGAGTGCTAAATAAAATAAAATAAAATAAGCTAGAAAAAGAGAAACAAATTAAAGCACAAGAAAAAGAAAAGGAACAATAAAAAATATCTGAAATTAATAAAAAGAAAAAGAAATAGAGAAAATAAACGAAACCAAAAGCTGGTTCCTTGAAAAGATGAATAGAATTCAAAAATATCTGGATGGACTGACCAAGAAAAAAGTGAGGATATACCAATTTTCAATATCAAGCATAAAAGGGGGATATCATTTCAGACCCTCAGAAAATAAAATAGAAGGAAATCTGAAATAATAAGAAAATAATAAAAACATTTGTGTGCCTATACATTTGGCAACTTAAATGAAATGGACCCAGTACTTAAAAAGACGGAAACTACAAAATTTATTCAAGAAGAAATAGATAACTTGAATAGCTTTATATGAGCTAAAGAACATTATTCATAATTAAAACTTTGTAGCAAAAAATTCTAGGACCAAATTGCTTCACTGACGAAGTCTGCCAAAATTTTAAGAAATATATAAGCTTTATACAATTTGTTTTTCAGAAAATAGAAAAGGAAATATTTTGTCATTTTGTCACAAAAAAGCCAGATAAATGTAATACAAGAAACAAGAAATTGAAAACCAATATCCCTCTTACACATGGACATACAAATATTCAACAAAATATTAGACAAAAAATACAGCAGTACATGAAACAATATTAATACATCATGACTTAATAGGGTCTATCTCACTAATGAAGAACTGGTTCAACATTCAAAAGCTAATCAATATAATCCATCATAATAACAGACAAAAATGATTATTAAAATAGATAAAGAAAAATCATTTGACAAAATTTAGCATCTAATTTCCTCATAACAAAAGATATTGAGCATTCTTATATGATTATTTGACATCTGTATATCTTCCTTGGTGAGATATCTCTTCAGATATTTTGCCCATTTCTTTTTTGGGTTATTTTCTTATTGTTAAGAGTTCTTTGTGTATTATGAATACAACTGCTTTATCAAATATTTGTTTTGAAAATATTTCCTCCCAGAGTGTGACTTGCCTTTTTGTTCTCTTAACAATGTCATATCAGAGCAAAAAATCAAAAGGCGTATTTTATCATTTTTTTTCTTTCATAGATTATGCTTTTGGTGTTGTACCTAAAAACTCCTTGCCAAACCTAAAGTCATATAGATTGCCTCCTACATTTTTTTCTAGAGATTTTACAATATTGTGTCTTATATGTAGGATTATGATTGATTTTGAGCTTTTATGAAGGTGTGAGGTCTATGTCTAGATTTTTTTCTTTTGCATATGGGCATACAATTGTTCTAGCAACTTTTATTGAAAAGACTATCATCTCTTCATTGAATTGCCAGTTTTCCTTTATCAAAGATATTGTGTTGGTCTATTTATGAGCTTTCTATTCTGTTCCATTGATTTTTGCCTATTATTTTGATATCTTAGCCTGTCTTGATTACTGCAATTTTTTAGTAAGTTTCAATGAGTATTATTACTCATTCAACTGTGTTCTTCTTCAGTATTATGTTGGCTATTTTGATATTTTACCTTTCCATAAAAATTTTAGAGTAACTTTGTTGATATCCTCAAATTATCTTGTTGAGATTTTCATTGGGATTATATTGACTCTACAGAAAGTTGGGAAATTGACATTTTAACAATATTGAGTATTCCAATCCATGAAGATGGAATATTTCATCATTTATTTAAAATTGTTTTGATTCTTTCCTTAGATTTTTAGAGTTTTCTACATATACATTCTATGTATATTTTGTTGGGTCTATACTGTTTTATTTTATTTTATTAAATTCTGGGATACATGTGCAGGACATACGGGTTTGTTACACAGGAAAATGTGTGCCATGGTGGTTTGCTGAGTATTTTTAAAATTATCATTTGAAACCAATAGTACTTAACTTTTATCTTTCTCCTTTCTAAAATAGGTGGCACACTTCCTACCATGAAAATAATTCTCTACTGTTCCTTCTTCTTGTGGATACTGCATAATAAAAGAAGAAAGTATGAAACAAGATTTGACAATCCTCTGTTTAGAAGAGTACCTTAATGACTCTAAGGCAAAACCTCAGAATAGGAACTTGGTGACTACAGAGGTCTTTGAAACTAGACAATTAATAAGGGCAGGCCTTCAAAAGCAGATCAGAGGGAAAAAAACAATCCAAAGAGAACTTAGACACAAATACCCAATAGCAAAAGAGGTATAGCTATAATAGCAAAAAAGCACCTGAAGATGATTATTTAATGACCAGGAATACTTCCCATTCCAATATGTACAACCTTCAGCAATGTGACATTGGCATGCCTCCTATCCAGAAGTAAAATTTATTTTTCTACCCCTTTGAATCTGCGTTGGTCTTGTAACTTGCTATGTCTAATAGAACATGGTAGAAACAACTTTGTGCAAGTTGTGGAGGCTTATCCTTAAAAGACCATGCAGCTTCCATGTTTACCCAGTTGGAGACCTGCCTTCATACCACCATAGAAGGAAACCGGCCTTGTCTACCAGAGGATAAAAGGCCACATGAAGGAGAATCAAAGTACTGTAGAAAACAGCATTAAGAAGTGAGTGAGGTCTTCTTGGAAATTTCAGCCCAGCCAACTCTCCAGCTAACTGCATTCACATGAGTGAATCCAGGCTAAACAAGAAAGGATGCCATCCAGCCAAACCACTGACTGTGGGAAGCAATAAATTGCTGTTATTTCAAGATACTAAAGTTTGAGGCTATTTTTTATGCAGCAAAAGACAACTGATAGAGTACCATAAAACAGAAAATATTTATGTTTTAAGGTTCACCAAACAATGCAAGAGCCCACTTGTAAGCTCTGAAGCCCTGTTCCTAAGGTCTGATGGCTTAGAAATTAGATGATAGAATAAAATTTAGATAATTGAATAAAAGAAAGGAAGGTGTTCCAGACAGGTAGAACAACATGAGCACAGGCAAGAGGCAGGACAAAAAGAACAAAAGGAGTTATTCTTTCATGCATTTTTTCTTTACAAAAGAAGTAATTCTGTGTTCCTCTTTAAATCTTCCAAGATTTTCCCCTTTTGGGTTATATTTAGTGTATTCATCTAAAATAGTAGAATTAGATTGCAAGGTCTAAAGGAGCAGGGAAACAAAAAGACCAACACTCAGTGAGCATTTACCATGTACCAGGAACTTGACATTGCCTAATCTCATTCAATCATCACAAAATAGTCTTATGCTACAATTATTTCTCCCCATTTTACAGAAGAGGCAACTAAAGCTCAGGGATTGTAGGTAATTTGCCCAAGTTCACTAAGCTAGTAAATGGTATTACTTTGCTTCTTCCTCTTTCAAAATACATACCACTTCCATAATCACCTACTGCCTCCCAGACTCTTTATTTATCTCACTATCAGCAATGCTTAGTTTATTTCTTCTCACAATGAAGGCACTCAAAATGTGCCTCTGATAGAATTTAGGGGGAAATAAACTTACATGAAACAAAGTTCATTAATCTGACAGAATGTAGAGGAAAACACATGAAATAAATTTCATTAATCTGATAGAACTTAGAGGGAAAAACTTACGTGAAATAAATTTTATTAATCTTTGACTCGTGACATTAACAGATAGTTTTCTGTGTGAAGTTCACTTCCTTTATGTAACCACTAAATTCATAACTCAATCATTCACTGATCCATTTAGCAAATAGGTATTAAGCATCTCATAAGTGCCAGCTTTTTAGGCACTAGGAACACAGTGGTGAGCAGAGGGACATCAAACACATTCATACTCACAAAGTCTCTGACCTCTAGATGGAGATTATTGGTCATATTTGTGTCTTCCTTAAAGATATCCTGGGCATGGGTGTCAACCTTGAGCAAGTTGGCTTCTCAGTCATTTGTTTTTATTTCTACATGTCCTCCTAACAAAACAATAAGGGGAAAATAATATACTCAACTCTCTTTGATCCTTACAAGTGAAAAATGATTGAGTACCCCTTCCCAGAAGGAGGAACAGAATTTACTAATGCTTTCTTGTTTATCTTTAAGAGTTACAATGCTTAGAACAACTGTTTGCTCCTTGTAAGAAATGTACATGTTGTCTAGTTAGAATGGTTTAAAATTAGATTTAAAAAATTCATTATTCTGTCCAAAGACCCTGGAACTTAAACTTAACTGAAAATGCACATGTAAGTCAGACCACAGTGTCTTGAAGTTTCTATGGCAAGTTTGTCAAAGTTGGAGAGCGTCACTTACTCCCAGCTGTTTCTAAGGTTCACAGCTTCCACCCCCACCCCCGCCAATACTTGTCTGAGATTCTTGGCTGAGAGAGCTGTTTGTTTCTTTATTTAGCAAAATCTAGCACAGCTCTGCTTAGCAGAGGGACAAACTGGAATTTGCAAATTTCTGCATTATCACTCAGAAATTGCCAACTTGTCACAGGTGTACAGCATGCGAATAATGGGAAGAAGAGAGCCGGGGACTGCCATGGACCTGAACGCCGGGGGCTCCATCTGCAATGTCCCAGGCACATTATTGCATCTCGTAGGGGAATCCGCTTTTCGTGGTAGGCAGAGGTGGGGAGTGCAGGTCCTACTCACGGCTTACAAGACATTTTAAGTCAATAATTATAAGCAGAGCTGTTAACAGCACGCTGCTTGATTATTATGTCACGAAGAAAAGAAAAGAATGGCAAGGGTAACTTGAAAAAATAAATGAAGAGCAGTGAGTTTTCCGAGAAGCAGAGAATGAAACTGAGAGATTCTTGTTATTTTTTAAAGCTGCTGAGTTGCTCTCACTTCTTTGCTAAGTCTCTCAAGTACGTTTTTTTCCTCAAAAGGCTTGAATAAATACCTGCCCTGCACTGAAGGGGAAATGTAGAGGCTCAGCTTACCGACAAGTGGACAGGTGGCGAAACAGGTATGGGCATTTCTGTTTCAGGTCAGCTTTTCATGGGACTTAATTGAATAATATCACCTTTCACTTTTTACCTTTTTCCCCCTCATTGATCAAGCTGCTTTTGAGAAAAGTGATACTTTGCATATCTGGCTAAGTACTGTTAACAGCCTCTGCCTGCGGTTTGTTAAAATTAAAAAAAAAAAAAAAAAAAAAAAGTGTGATCTTGCCGGAGAAGTAATTTGCTTCTCTCCAACCAATGATGGCTTGTACTTTATGCAAATTGGTATCTAGGGACAACAAATCCCATTTAATACATATGCATAGTTCATAAAAAAAAACGACGTGAGAGAAAGAGGAAAAAAGATAAAGCAACGAGTCAGCAAAAGAACAGGTTCCGAGGAAATTTATTGTCCCAAATTGGACATTTGTAACAGATGATGTGAACAAGTGTTAACTTTGTTTTCAGCAGCTCTTCACGTACATTCACTAGACATCACACAGATTATGTTTTAAGGATCTGAACTGTAATAAAAAAAAAAGTGTCTATGGGCTTTAGAGTGTTGTGTTCCATATGGTTAGGGAAGTACGGAGTTATTGCGACAAGCATCTTGTGAAGCTCATTACGCGCGGTGGTGTTAGATGCGAATTGCCGCGCATAGCTATAGGGTACGTACATGACATCCCACAGTCAGCAGATAGCAACTGGAAATGAAAGATATGAAGGCACAGAGTACAGCTTCAGGGAACATGTTAGACAAAACATCTGCTGGTATCAGAACACTGCATTATCAGATCATTGTGGCCATGAATTTTTTATAGACAGTTTTTTCCCCCAAACCGCAACTTTGAAAGTGACATTTTGTGCAAAAAGTTTTTGATTGAAGTGTGATGTCAGGAGGAAGTCCAGTGCTGTAAGTCATTGTATAGAGAGCCGACACTGGCAGCCCAAGAAAACTCCTTTTTGCAAAGTGGGGCAACCTCGCCTAGGAGAATGTGTGCTGCAGTGCGTGCACATGGGAAGGCATAAGCAAGAAAGTTTTCTAAGCAAAAAAGTATGACTGAGATGCTTTGGTCTTTCTATGTCACTCAACATGTGGACAGGTTCATATCCTTCATATCCTAGACATTCACTTAACACTTCCTTTCTTCATGTGGAGAAAGGGTTGGTCAGGAACTCCAATTAAGTGAGGAGGCAATATTCCATCAACTTATCTCTTGTACTCCGCTTGTTAATGGCAGCATTTCTCTTTTGCCACTTCTGCCTGAGAGTGGCTCTTGTAAGAGGTTCCTTCATTGCAGGAAACTTGCATGGATGAAAAACTAGCTGAGTTCTGATTATTCGAAGTATACATTAGCGGCCCCACAGTCCTTGAGAGACGGTGGCAGGAAGGCCTGAAGAAAGGGAGGCAGTGGGGAGATGGTCCTCACCTTGAGAAAAGTTAATGGTCCTGATATTTAGGCCCCATTCCAGGATGCCGTATACTTCATCTTGGAAGATAATGAAGCTCATCTAAAAGTATTATGACTTATGGAAGAATCCAGCTATCGACAGCCACCTTTCTGTTAACATGGTTCTGAGAAATGGAATGATTTCACAGGCCATGGGGTACAGGGATAAACGTATTTCTCTTAAAAGAGCTAATGCAAAAGAAGAGTAGAGGAGAAAGAGCTCAAAGACAAGTGGCAGGTCCTTGAAATGGATTCTGGAGAACTAGAGGAAGTGCTTTTCTCTATAATGCAACCAGTATTCAATTTAACATTCTTTTCAATAAACCATTGGATTCCTCTCTTAGCCCATTAGAAAAGTGACACACTGGATAAGATCAGAGTGTGACGCTCAGAAACCCTCAAGAGAGACTATATTTACTCATGGCAGCAGATATGAAGGAACATCTGTACAATAATTGGCAATAGTTCCAGATATGAAAGAGAAAAGTAAAAGATACTCATGAATGAGTAAGCACCAACTACAGAGATCTGTACTTCACAGCTCCAAGCTGTTCTCTTATCATTCTACACATTTTTTTCCATTTTCTTTTTGTCTTATTTTCATCTTTCTTTTTTATTTTCTTTCAGCGAAAGCAAAGTGAGGAAGAGGATTTCTTTTCATTTTTCATAATTCCTTTTTTCTACTGCTTTGTAGAAGAGATATGAGTATAGAGAAATACCCTCTGGGTATATATTCTCTATTATATTCCCTGAAAGTTTTGATGAGCCATCAACTGTATACAGAAAGATGTGAGAATTCGTTCACTCAATAAATATTTACTAAGCACCTATTACTGCAAGTGGCCCTTGTGCTAAGAAGAACTACGATTTTCAATAACTGTCTTTATTTATTTTTAATATTATTTTTGAGAAAAGGTCTTGCTCTGTTGCCCAGGTTGGTGTGCAGTGGTGCAATCATGGCTCACTGCAACCTTGACCTCCAGGCTCAAGTGATCCTCTCACCTCAGCCTCCCAGAGAGCTGGGACCACAGGTGTGCACCAATACACCCAGGTAATTTTTTCATTATTTGTAGAGATGAGGTCTTGCTATGTTGCCCAAGCTAGTCAGGAACTCCTGTACTCAAGCAATCCTACTGCCTCAGCCTCCCAGAGTGTTGGGATTATAGGCATGAGCCAGTGCACCCGGCCTTTATTTATTTTTGAAAAATATTGTAAATAAAAAAATTAATAAATAATACTCAGAGTCAAACATTAAGTAAAAGAGGGGAAAGAGAGAGTTAGGTAACCTTCAACCTGGTTTTGTCTTGAGAACATTTGCTGTTCCAAGTAAATTTAGCTTTGTTTTCCTTGATCTCTAAGGGTATGGAAAATACAAAGTCTAGGGATCATTCTAAGTGAGAAATATAGATGGAGATATCCCTACATCTAATTCCTCCAAAGACTACATGCTCAGTGTCACATAAAACACAAGTAAGCATGTCCTAGTCATCAGCCAATCACCAGCACACACACACACAGCCAACAACACAATAAGACAAAGACTTCAGAAAACATATTTATCAGGTATAAAAGAAATATGTCTAATGAATGCTAAGAAGGTGAATAAGGGACAAATCATAAAAAATAGTTAAAGGTTATACAAATGTAAAAGCATATTTAAGTAAGAAAAAATAGAGCTTATAGAAAAAACATATAATTCATTGGATGGATTTAACAGTTGAATACAAATAAAGACAAAAATTTTGTGAGCAGGAAGATATGTCTGAAGAGAAGCAAAGAGATGCAAAATGTTTTAAAAGTTAAATCATGATGGGGAAGAAAAAAGTTTTAATATACGCCTAATTAAGTTTCAAAAACAAGAGAAAGGGAGCTGCAGTAGTATTTGGAAGCATAACAGCTTAGAATTTTCTAAAATACCAATTCTCAGACTTATGAAGTCTGAGAATTATAATACCAATTCTTTTGGTATTATATGAATATATTATATAATACCTATATAATATATAATTATATGAATTATATAATATAATACCAATATTATATGAATTATAATACCAATTCTCAGACTTATGAAGCTAAATGAATCCTAACCAGGAAAATAAATATCTAGAACACAAAACTGCAGACCACAAAAGACATAAATGTATTAAAGCACCAAGGCAAAAATGAGAACCTTCAATGTTTGATGAATTGACAGCGAACTTCTCAACAGCAACTATGAAAGCCATACACTGTGGTAACATCTTTAATGTGCTCAGAGAAAATAACTGTCTACTGAGACTGCATGTTAATCAAAGTGATTTTCAAGAGAGTGGGTAAGATAGCGATATTTGTTGAAACGAAATTAATAGTTCACTATCAACAGATCTTCTTTGAATGAACTTTTAAGAAATGAAATTCACAAAAAAACGCAAGTGATCCCAGATGTTAGCTTTGAGTAACAGGAATATATTAGGAGCAAAGAAAATGATAACATGTGAATAAATTTAAATAAACTTTGGTGGCATAAAATTATAGTGATAAATTCTTCATGAGGTTAAAAAGCAAATAGAAAAAACTAATAAAAGACACAAAA